TTAAGAAAAAACCTTTTATTTTCTACATCAACATTATTAGTTTTGTTTTCTTTGCTACTGTTACATAATATTATCATACTTTTTAATCTTCTTAAACTATCCTCTATTCTTGTATTGATCTACTTTTCTAGACATAAAGCTCTCGTCTAAAACTGCAAGGATAGTGGAGCGGTCACCCACAGAATAGCACTACCCATTTCTATGTATCATAAGCTAAGAATAGGAATTCCGTTTAACGAGATGATAAAACCGTGATAACTTTCCACACTGTGATAAATCAACCTATGAGTATTTTTAAATGTGTCAATTTTCTTTATGGGCTAGTTAGCTACTTAGTATGAAGTAAAAATATATTATATCAAAGAAGCAAAGTAAATAAATTTTGCTCAGAGTAGCATAGGTTATAATCCCTGGCCAGGATGCAAAATCTCCATGTCTTGTCTAGATGTAAGGACATGAGCAACTCTCCGAGATTTGGCATCAAATCTTTAAATAGGAACAAAAATAAATATAAAGTCTACAAGGAACCCCGAACGGTGTTTGACTTTTGACGACTATTCGAAGACTTTTGCTTAAAACATAGTTGAAGAAGTACCACAACACTACATAAGAATATTTTTTTTTAAATTTGAGAGACTGAAGCCAGAGTCTAATAGCATTTTTTGAGCAGAACTAAACCGTTATTACTAATTACGCTTAATAAAGGATAAACACTCTAATATTAGCAGGAGTAAAATTTAATTTTAAACTTCAATTATTTATTTTATCCCACCTTAAAATTATCCTTATATATAACCTATTTTGTGATTGTTTTCATTTTATTCATCATCATTATCATCAACAGCCTATAACAGTCCACTGCTGAATACTGGCCTCTCCTTAGAAAGGAGGTTTTGGCCTACTATACCACGCTGGCCAGAACGTATAGGGTTTGTTTTAAGTTTGCCTTCTCTTTGCAGTTGTGTTGTCCTGCGTAATTTACTCCCTAAGTCGACTCTTACGACAGCCACGGAATGAATAGGGGTGGTGACACTCTGAATTCTTAATCCGTCACCACACGGACAATGTACCGTCGAGTAATTGCCTAAGCTTACATTTTACGTTAGTATTAGTATAATAATAAAATATTCGAAGGGGAGGGGCTCATGCCTAAGTAGTAAACGAGTAGGATAACATATTGCAAAGTTAAGTAATCCTTGCCAGGTCAGCCAATGGATTCTTTACATATTGAGACACCTCCGTATCTCGGAGAGCACGTTAACCCGTTGGTCCCAGTTGCATACCATCTGTAGTAATGGTTATGGATAGTTGGAGCCCTAAAACGTCCGACAACAGTATTACTACAGAACTTCGATATCACCTAGTACTTGGGCTCCATCATGGCTCGGCGAGCGGCCTCACTCCACTAGCGTACCTCTTCGTAGACTTAAAGCCCAGCCCAACCTAGTTTGGAAAAAGGCACGGATCAAGAATAATAATATGATATTTCCAAAGTTGTAATTGTTTTGATTTTTTATGTTAAAGAGGGAAATGAGATAAGAAGGGTCATTAGATGGTCAGTGGTTACCGCCACAAATGTGCAAGTGCACCTCAAGAATCACAAGTGTTGCCACCTTCCGAATGCTCCTCTTTCAGTATTAAGAAGAGGAAAGAGGTTTTGGGTGAAAAGCAAAGGAAGAATTTATTAACACTAGTGGCAACAATGGTGATACGAAAAACAAACGCAAGTATTGATGACTTTATTGTAACCTATTCACATCACATTACATCACATCATATCAACAGCCTTTAATGATCCTACTATACCTTGGCCTAATATATAACCTATTATTTAGATTTAATTTATAAATTTATTACGTTTTTATCCACTAACAGTATTTAAGAAGCTCTTCGAGATTACAAAACTTATCGCAGCATTCTTGGGTGGATCCGCGCTTTCCACCTACGCTACCGAGCGCTCAATCACCTTCTTATGACATCCATGAGCTACTATCACTCACCACCATCTCAATGTACAACACAAGGCAGCAAGCATATTATATAACCGTCTACCACGGTATCTTTGAACAGTTTGAGCTTTTACTTGTCGACATATCACTACGATCAATGTTAACGCTAGAGCCACCTTCATCACTATTTAAATTATCACTGCAACTTTGAAATCGTTTACTCTCAACTGGTAATGAAAAAAGTTCATAAGACGCTCAGATTTTATATCATAAGCGACTTTTTAAGGTTAATTTCTGTAATTCTAAATATATCTTAGATCTGCCACTCGCTCCCACACAACGTTCAATCATTCGAATAATCTGTCTGACATCCTAGGGGCATATATTTTGTAAATCTTATAATCAAACTGTTGGTCTGAATATTAATGAGCTTAAAAAGGTTTAAAAGCTTTGGTTTTAAATGCTATCATCACATTAAAGTCCAGTGCCTCAACACAGTAGTATTACAAAACCGATATCTAACTTCAACAACCAATGAAGTTCTCATTGGTGTTGGTCATGGTTGTGTTGGCTTGTAGTAACGTGTTAGCAGATGATGCACAGATATACTGCGGTCGCCGGCTCTCCAATGTTCTAGCGACTCTGTGCTGGGACGTTGAGATGGTGAAGCGGGATGCTGGCGGGTGGATGATGAAACAGAATGTTCGAGCGCTTGGTAGTGTTCGCGGTAAACGTGGCTCCGTCGACGAGTGTTGCTATAAGCCCTGTACCATTGATGAACTGCTCACGTACTGCTAACCACTCCCTACTTACATTTAAACATGGAAAGTTAAACTGATAGGATTAAATAAATAATTTGAATTTTATATTACATTTTAATTCACTCCTATGGATTTCCGAGCTTTTATCCTTTATTCTGCTTAGAGTGTTCTTAGTTTCTCTTATCAAGCTCAGAAGCATAATTAAATTTACTTATGTAGCGGTGTTGTAATTGTTCTACTGTGTTTCGGGAATAATCTTCAGACCCAGGATCCAGAAAGGGGATTCTACGAGTATTATTTCATTTTACATGTTGGCCATAAACTATTGGTCTATAGCTCTAAGCATAATATATATGCTATATTTCTTTAATTTATTTCCTTGATGCTACAACTATCCATAAGTTTTTGCTACAATGCAGAATAAAGATTACAGATGCACTACGACATCTGCTTGAGTCCACTTGCCGATTATTGTCTAGTTCTCTTCTACCTGGAGCCGGACGAATATATTTTAGGCCTTATTCAAGACATATCGGAAAAAAATGGAATAGAATTTAACGCCACATAAATTTTAAACCACCAGGGACACTGGTCTTGTAATAAAATTGAGTTCGAAATAGTTAGATTTGGAGAAATTGCTAGAGATCTCCAATAAATTACCGATAGACAATTTTCGCAGTTATAGATTTAACAAAATTGCATTGTTGTTGTAACAAAATTGTACGTTGTGTGTCATATGTCCGAAATATCTATAGCAGTTTACACACATGACATCATCATCAGAAAAAAATATTAGACGTTCTGAACTTTGGCCCACCAAGAAGAAAACAGTTTTATAAAAAGAATATTACTACTACTAAAACTACTAACTACTAATTACTAAAAGAAAACATTTATTTTTATACGTCATGTGCATTCGGTGCATCGGAGTACTTAATGCCTAAGGCATTCTCAACCAGTCAACCATGGGGCGATGCAGAGAAAACAGGAAGTAGCTGCAATTAGGATACAGTTTATTTTAGACAGACAAAATTTAGCAATGTATTACTTAATAAGAAATCACATATGTGTAAACATGTTTCGTTTAACATGTATGTTTGAACATGTTTCGTTTTTGAAAATGTAAAATTGAAAATGTTTCAAATTGAACAACAAGTTCTTATTGTTCAATTTGTTGTTAAGTGTGAGGATCTGTAATTGGCTTAATGTTACGTATTTTTATGTTATACACCACTATTATAGTTGTAGGTCTTACATTAAATAAATAAAAATAAAGTATTTTTTTCACTTCACAAAATATAGAATTTTATGTATATTTTACCTTCACGCATCTTTATATAGTTTTGACGATGTGAAATGTAGTTATTTTAAAGCAAATGCCTGTTTTTCTTTTTATTATGGGTTAAAATTGCCGATTTCAATGCATATTTTACATTTATTTACAACTTTATGCTGTACATCGGCGGACTTAATGCCCAAGGCATTCTCTGCCAGTCAACCTTTAGGTAGTGTAGAAAGCGTGAGTGGTAGGTGCATATAGGATATAACACTAATCACTTAGTTATACACCGCACAACACAACATACGTAATTTTTTACACAAGCAAATCTTCGCTCCATACACGCACACACAAATATATATACATTCATATACATACACATACATACACTATACATATATATGTGCACCTACATACATATAAACATATATTGGCATTATATTCGTACAACATGAGTGTGGAAAATTGGCTGCTGCACTATCGATTCGATGATTCTGCCGTCTCATTAAGAAGAAGGTTGTGTACTTTCTTATTAAAAACGGAACGGTTTTATGGACATCCTGAATTCAACCGGGATCGCATTCCAGAGTAGAAATGCTTGAACGAAGAATGAAGAGTTCACGAAGTCGGAATTCTGGGAGGGAGAATCAAATTATTTGCAGAGCGAAGATTCCTGTCGTGATTAGACGACAAGAAACGGAGGTAGGGAGCACGGTATGTAGGTGAGGATGGCGAGGTAAGAAATGAATATAAAGAAGTCAGAGCTCGCTGATTGCGGCGCATATTAATGCGTCACTATTTTCTTAACCCGAATGGACTATAATGTGCTTACCAAAAATCTGTAATGATTGTTCAGCAACTAAAGGGTTTTAATATTTGTAAAGCTTTATTTAGGTATTTATAAAAAGAAGTCAATAAGTAATTCATTCGTTACCAATTTTATTACTACCTATTATTTGTATCAAAGTACATTTTCGTTACATTTTGTAGACTTATTTTAAACGTAGATGCTTAAAACATTTCACAATACGTGCGAACCTCTTCGATAGTACAAGGTTTTTTGCAGCATTCTTCGACGGGTCCGCGTTTGCCGCGTACTCTACCGAGAGCTCGAGCTCTTTCCTGCAACATCCACCAGCTACCATCACGTTTTACCAATTCAGTGCTAGGATAACACAAGGCCGCCACCACCCTGGGGAACCGTCGACCGCAGTATTTTTGAGCACTTTGATGAGCTTCAAATTGTCGACATATCAACACCATAAATATAACCACTAGAGCTACCTTCATGGTTACTATCTAACTGTATCTTTGATATCGTTGACTCTCAAACACTCGACTCGAAATGGTAAAATATCACAGAACGCTAAGATTTTATACCATATTATATCATTAATATTCATATTAAATCACTGATGTTCAGTGAGATAATATTTATTATATCTTAGACATCCCAATCGCTCCCACACGCTGTCCAATCATTCGAATAATCTAGGCGACATCTAAGAGGCATACATTCTGTAAATATTGAACTGAATATAAATGAGTTTTAAACTATTTAAAAAGCTTTATATTTAAATAGTAGCATTACATTTAAATTGTAAATGTAAAATGTTCGATAGCTTAGTACTGTTCGCATTAAACGCGGCCCCGTCGACGAGTGCTGCTATAAACCCTATACCATCGATGAACTGCTTACGTACCTACTGCTAACCATAACTGCACGGATGGCGTAGTAGTTTAAGCGGTCGCCACGCCGCTTTTTACTACACTGAGTGTTGTGGGTTCAAACCCCACATGGGACGACACTTTGTGTGATCCACAAATTGTTGTTCTGAGTCTGGATGTTCTTTGTGTCCGTTTCATGTATGTTTGTAAAGTCCCCCGCGACACGGGATATATTCCTAATGCGGGAATTGTCTTTAAAAAAAAAAAAAAAAAACTATAAATTCAATTTATTTTCAATTTAATTGCTATAATAGTTAGAATTAAATTTTATCACTTGCTCTGATTTGAGTGTTTTTCTTTTATGGAATAGGGGGCAAAGGAGCAGCTAGGTCATCTGATCGAAAGCAACTACCGCCGCCCATGAACGCCCGCCGCCTTTTAGGAAGGAGCACGCTCTTTTCTTGAAGGTTCGAAGGTCGTATCGGTCCGGAAATACCGCAGACGATAACCCGTTCCACAGATTGGTTGTGCGGGGTAAAAAGTGTCTCGAAAAGCGCACAGTAGTGGAGCGCCAACTATCCAGGTAATGAGGATGAAAATTTTGCCGTGTGTAAAATACCTTGCGCCTAAATTTATGTCAGTTAACACATACATTTAACAAAAGACTGTTGCAAGCAATTTTCGCCCTAAATTACATTTCTGTTAAAACATGTTTTTTGGCATCTATAAATGCAAGATCACGAATATAAAAAAAATAGAAATTGAGGATTATCATTATTTTTTTAAACACATTACATATAAATGATAAAAAGTAGGTGCAAGCAATTTTCAACTTTCTAAATCCTCAATATCTTATTTATTTTTTAATATTCGTGATCACTTCGTACCCTAGAAAGGAAATCCCTGGAACCCCGACGTACCTCGGGCTATCTACGGTGGGTAGATGACCCCCTACTGTGTGGGAACCCCTCTGTTCCCTTTGTGCTGCCGAAAGCTGTCTCACCGCCACATTGGCCTGCTTCTGCTAGGGTAACAGATGACCTCACCTATCACAACCAGGCCTGCGTTTATGGAGGATAGATGTCGTTCTGCGACCTCCGGCGCCTGAGTCGTCTGCGGTACTTGGCCCTTGGGTGTAATCTGTTACGCCCATGACACTTTAGTCATAGCCCAGGGGGCGAACTTTCAAGAGACGGCGCGTCTAGACACCAGGAGAGTCTCGCTTACGGCGCTTACGGGTGGCCCTTGATTAGACGGAGGCCTTCTTATTTCATGGGCCCCGTCGTGGTCCTCCTCCTGGCGTCTCTATCGTTGTCAAATCGGTCCTCGTAGCGGTTCAGGCCCAGATGAAGTATTTGGGCCTGATCCTCGACGGGAGATGGCTTTTTGACGAGCACTTCCGACAACTTGCCCTAAAGCTTTATTTTGCAGAACATAAGTAGGTATAAATTTATAAAACTATTATCAGACCTGCCGTCCTGTATGGCTCTGAAAGTTGGCCCATTAAGAGAACGGATGAGAGACGCCTGAATGTAGCCGAAATGCGAATGCTGAGATGGATGTGTGGTGTGACTCAGATGGACAAGGTTAGGAATGAGTATATACGAGGGAGTCTGAAAGTAGCGCCACTGGATGAAAAGTTAAGAAGTAATAGGTTATCTTGGTATGGACATGTCATGCGGAGGGATGAGGAAAATGTGGCGAAGAAAGTTTTAGGTATGAGAGTTAAAGGGTACAAGAGAAGAGGCAGACCGAAGAAGAGGTGGATGGACTGCGTCAGGGAGGATATGGCTAGGAAAGGAGTAAACAGTGAGATGACGCATGACAGAGTAGAATGGAAAAATCATACATACTGCGCCGACCCCAAATAAAATTGGGAAAAGGGTAGGCAGATGATGATAAGTAGGTATAAAAATTATCTTAGGTATAAAATATAATTATTAAATTATATCTCAAATATTAATTTAGGACTTATATTAAAAGTGCAACAAAACTTTTCAATTATTATTATTTATTTTTATTACCTTAACTTAACTAATGAGCACTAAGGTAAAATTTGCATTACAGTTAGCACAGTTCAATAGGCAATGATTAGCAGTACGTGAGCAGTTCATCGATATCACAGGCCTTATAACAGCACTCGTCTACGGGGCCACGTTTACCGCGGACACCACCAAGCGCTCGAACATTCTCCTTAGGAAACCACCCGCCAGTATTCCGCTTCACCATTTCAGTGTCCCAGCACAGAGTCGCCAGAACATTGGAGAGTCTTCGACCGCAGTAAATCTGTGCGTTACCTGCTAACACGTCACTACAAGCCAAGACGATAATGACTAACACCAATGAAAATTTCATATTGACTCAATGGTTTTAGTGATCTTATTGTTTTGAGGAGTAAGACTGAAATGTGTGCCTTTTTGAAATGTGTGCTTTTATATCTATGATCATCTGATTAATATTTACAACAACATATTTGAGAATTATTCAGTTGACGTCAATGAACGTCATGTTACATGTGGGAGTTTTGAGATATATTTAGTACTGCTTTACATAACGCCAAAGGTCTTAATCTAATACCTTTAAAGGAACAATTCTTGTATTCTTGTCTTGTCTTGTCTTGTATGTTGAAAATCGTTGAAGCTGTTTCTGAGATTTAGATTATACATATACATATATATGTATATGTATAATCTAAATCTCAGAAACAGCTTCAACGATTTTCATGAAATTTAGTGTGCAGGGGGTTTCGGAGGCGATTAGGTTTCATTTTTAGAAATTAATCCAAAAAAAAAACTCGGTCATGCAGGTACTATTATTCATAAGCGCTTCCATGTAAATCTTTTTCGTGGAACAATTCATAAATAAACTTATATTTATTGCGACAAGCGTCGATGGAACAAAATCACAATCATATGGGATTAATCATATGATTTACAAATCATATCACCACAACTGTGATCGATTTACAAAAGCACTCCTACTTAATTATTATTATTACGCTAGCGAAAGACTAAATCTTTGTCTATGACGAAATCACATATAAAATAGCTGTGACTAAAACCTATTATTTCATCAAATGAATATGATTTATAAGTAGCCGTAATTTCCATGTCTTAAATGTATTTATTTAGAAATATACAAGTCTGTTTATCATCTATCTGTTTACGATAGCTTGGGTTCAGACCGCGGCCGTGTGTTAGATGTGTTAAGATTATCATCACTTTGTTTCTTGTAAAATATGATAATGATTTGTCATGGTATAGTACAATAAAGTGCTTATGGAAACCACGTGTGGCTTACCGATATATGTAATTGTGGTTATGTGTGAGGACCCCTAAATACTAAAAGGTGCGATGTGCCAGCAAACGCAAAAGGAAGGTAGTCAAATGCTCTGTGACGTATGTGGTAATTTATTGGAACGAAGTTCCTTATCGCGCGTTGTGAAAGGGGGCTAGACGGAAAAAATTCTTACGAAAATTGGTCACGACACTTTTTATTTTGAGTTGTCACTTGTCAGTCATTCAGCGCCATCTATCGAATTGTAAAATTAAAATTTATGTTCTTAGGTTGAGAAAAAAATATTGTATTCGACATCATTTCTCAAGGAGGTTTTACCAATGTATAAATTGTTTTAATTAGAAACCAACTGAAAAATATGTAGGTAATAGCCGCTTTCATAGATGACGTTGTAATTAAAATCGTGTCGAATCAGTTTTACTCGATCGTCACAACTTCGTTCCTATCGGGTGTCCCACGACACCACACGGCTTTTTTGTATATATTATTACGGACGCTTTCCAACAAATACTTAATTCAGCTTGATTGGAAAGGTTTTTTTTGGTTATCTGCATATTTCTAAATAATAAAATTTTAATTTGCAGATCAGTTTCAATGATTTTGATTTAATAAAATTCATCATAATTAGATGATTCCATCAACAACTTTAAATACCAATTCATGTCGATTTTCTTTGTAAAAAATTACTCTATATTATTCAGTGTTTTAGATACGACTTGAAACATAATATAATATAATTTATTTCATAAACATTGTACCTACATTGTTACAAAAAATATGGCGTCTCCTTTTAAGTAAAAGAATACCTGTGCCAGGAGACTCCTGAAATATGACCACACTTTTAAAAACCGTTGTTTTACCGATAAGCTTTTAGCTTTTTACTTATGAAAAGCTGATAATATCTACTGAAAATTCATGTTTATTTAATGCCTTATTATAATATTTAAATAATGAATCATACTTAAAGTCACCATCAGTAGAACAGCTGTATGTAAATTTCTCGTGGTAGTTTTAGAAATATGGCTGTATAGCTAAGTAGTTTATCCGTGTGGTGACAGATTAAGAATACGGAATGTCACCACCCCTATTCATCCCGTGGGTGTCGTAAGAGCCGACTAAGGGAACAAACTGTACAGGACAACAGCACTGCAAAAAGAATAAAAACTTGACACAAACCCGATACCAACCCGTCTGGCCAGCGTGGTATAGTAAACCAAAACCTCATTTCTAAAGAGAGGCCTATGTCCAGCAGTGGACTATTACAGGCTGTTGATATGATGTGATGTAGCTAAGCGCGTAAGTCGTTTAACACATTGTAAGGATAT